AATGACTTAAGTGTATCCTTCTTGGTGGCTGAATAGTATTCCATCGTGTACATATACTACATTTTCTTTATCTATTCATGTGTTAATGGGTGTTTAGGCCACTTCCAGGATTTAGCTATTATGAGTTGATGACTGCTATGTATATACAGGCATATGTGTGTATCAATGTAATATGATGTCTTTAACTCATTTAAGAAGATACTCAGGAGTGATATAGCTGAATCACATGGAATTTCTACTTTTAATTTTTTGAGTAATCTCCATACTGCTTTGCACAGTAGCTATACCAGTTTACATTCCCACCAACAAGGAAAAAGGGGTCCTTTTTCTCCACATCATCATCATCAACATTTGTTGCTCTTTAAATTCTTGATGATACCTATTCTTACCTCGGGCTCTGGCACGGAACTACATCCCCAGCCCTTTATTTTTTTATTTTGAGACAGGGTATTGTTAATTTGCCCAAACATCTCAACCAGCGATCCTCCTGCATCAGCCTCCCAGGGTACTAGAATTACAGGCATTTGCCATCACACTCAGCTTCCACTTTTTCTTAAGTCTCTTTTGAGAAGTCATGTGTTTTGAAAGCATTATGTTTCATCTAGATTTATTGGCATAACTTCATGCTAAATTTATTGGAATTTGTTTCTAGTATTTTTTAATTTTTCTATTAAAAACTTTAGGCTATGGAATGATATTCCTTCTGTTATTTATCATATTAGTAATTTATTTTTCTCTACGTATTTCTTGATTTGTGCTGTTAGGTTTTATCAATTTCATTTATTTTTCAAAGAATGAATTTTGAACTCTTAATTTTTCTGTTTCTGTATCATGAATTTCTTCACTATTTTTCTCTCTCCTGATTGGGTTTAAACAATAACTAGCTCTTAAAGTAGAAACTTAGATTTTAAAAATCAGTACATATTGTGTACATACATTAAATTATCATATGTGCCCAACGATAATATGATTATTCCAATTTTAAACTTTCCTTTTCTTCTCCTATATTTAAACTTATAGTTTCCCTGTAAACACCGTCTTTATTGTATCCCATGAATTTTGAAGTGCTGTAGTTTCAGTATCATCCATATCAAAGTATTTCCTTATCCCTTTATGATTTTTTCTTTCAGTCATGATTTATACATGTATTACTTTCCAAAAACTTAGAAATTTTAAATATAATCTATTTACTGATTTTTAATTTACTCTTCCATGGCTATAGAATATATTCTGAAATAAGAAAAATCTTTGGAAATTTACTGAGATTTGTTTCACAGTCTAGCATAGGTTTGCCTTGATGGATCTTCCATATATACGTCAAAAGAATGTTTATTTCACAAATTTAAAGTAAAATGTCTTTTTTTTTTTTTTTTGTCTTTTACAGACAGGTCTCACTATGCTGTTCAGGCTGGCCTTCAATTCACTTGATAGCCCAGGATGGCTGCAAACTCACAAAGATCCTCCTGCCTCAGCCTCCCAAGTGCTGGGATTACAAGCATGTGCCACCATGCTCAGCTGGTACGGTATCTTATAAATGTCAATTAACTCAAGTTTGTTGATAGTGTATTTAGATATTCTACATCCAAACTCAATTTTTTCTACTTCTTTAATTAATTGCTAATTCATAAATAAATTATAGTGAAAGAATGGTTATAAAAATCTCCAACTTAAAAAAAACTATTTTTCCCTCAGTTATCAGTTTGGGCTACATAAATTATGAAGTTTTATTATTAGTTAAATGTGTATTTATGATTGTTATGTCTTCTTAATGAATCGTTCCTTTTGTTATAGATGTTTCTCTTTATCTCTTGGTCTTAGAATTACTTGTTCTGAAGCTAATGTAGCCACAGCAGCTTTCTTGGGCTACTTACCTAGCATATCATTTTCCATACTCTTATGTTCAATTTATATGTAACTTTAAAATACATCTCTTATAGACAGTATATTTATACCTATCTTCTATTCTAATCTACTATAATTTGATGATCTCCAACTGGCAACTGTATCATTTTACAATTAATAATTTTACAAGCTGGGTATGGTAGCACACACCTGTGATCCCAGCACTGTGGAGGCTCAGGCAGGAGGATTGCTGTGAGTTCAAGGCCAGCCTGGGCTACAAAATGAGTTCAAGGCCAGCCTGAACTCCATAGAAAGACCGTGTCTCAAAAAAAACAAACAAACAAAACACTTACACGTAATTTATTACTATGATGTGTTTAAGTGTTCAACCTTGCTATGTTTTCCATTTGTCCCGTTTCTCGGTTCAGCTTCCTCTCTCGTTGTATTCCTTCTACTGTGCTTTTTATTACTTTTAATTTTTATTTCTCCCCCCATGGTTAGCAATGTACTCTCAACCCAGCCTAATCTGTTTACAAAACTGTATCACTTCACGCTTGACGTGTAAGCCCCTTCCTCCCACTTCCCGCGGGTTTACACTTGCACCTCCTTCCTCGCTCTTCATGTTAAACTCACAACTCTGATAACCGTGGAGTCTGTCCGGTGAATTTTTCACTTCAGGTAGTTTTCTATTCTAGAATTTCATTGGTTTTCTTCTGAAAAGTCTTTCTCTGCTAACATTCCCTATGTGTTACCCCATCAGACTAAACTTTCTTTTAGTTCTACATTATTTGTTAGCTGCTTTAAAGTCTCATTCAGTTTCTATTTATTGTTCCTTTTCATTGACTATGGTCCTGTAGCTTTGCTTATCTTGTAATTTTTCACTGTCTACTGAACATTGTTAATGATATAGAGACTGCATTCTGCTGCCTTCCTTCTGAAAAGTGTTCTTTCCTACTAGGCAGTTCAGCTCCTGACTATCATTAAGTTGGGTACACTTGGCTTTGTATTTTGTCACAGAAGCTATGTAGAACCCCAAGTTGTTTTCCAAGTACCTCTACCTTGGCAAGAATCAACTTCCAAAATCTATCTCCCCAGCAGATTTTGTCAGGGCTTGGTTTTAGGCTCTTTTACAGTGAGCAGTGTTTGAACAAGAGATTATTTCCCCCACGCAGAGACACACAGTAACATATGAAGACATTTTGGGTTGTCACGACTAGGGTGGAAGACACTACTGATATCTACGTAGAGACCAAGAATGCCGGCAAACACTCAAAAACACAAAGGACAGATCCACACAAGGAATGACTTGGCCTTCAACATCAACAGTGCCAAGATTAAAATCCTGCTACACCTGAAGTTGTAGTCTTTACTTCTGCCTGGGGCACCAGTGATGTGCGGAGGCCCCGTCCTCTCTGGAACGGACCTCCACGACTTTCACTGCAGCCTGATGTCTAGCACTGCTAGTAAGTTGTGCTCTGGCAAGTCTTCCGTGCTCTTGCTCTCCAGACGCTATTTCTGGAGGGAGGGTTTGAAACACCACGTTGCAAGGCAGTAAGTAATGAGAATTTGCAGCCATTTTCATGGTGGAACCACTTCTGCTTTTAGTGCTAACAGTTTCTAATTGGTGGGATTTTCTTTTTTGCACTGAACTTAATAAATAAACATGAAATCTCTGAAAACATATTCTGTGTTTTAGTGATTTTATGGATAATCTGATTAAATATTATTACATTTAAAATAATTTAATCTGATGATTGAAAAAGCTACAGTACTTATATATGCTGGCCATATGTCTGAAAATTACTGTAGGAATTAAATGTACACACGGATATGAATGTTGCTGTTGACATGGAAACTTAACCCTTTGCATTACATTTCACCAACATCTTTATACAACTGGATACTTGTATAAAGAGTTTAATGACAGTGCATTCAAAGAGCCAGTATGTAGGTAATGTAACACAAAACACAACTTTTCCAAAAGAGATTTATGACAAGGTAGCCTGGATGAGACCCAACACCCTACTTGAATCAGGAAGTTTCTCACAGCCCACTGCAGGCAGGTTCAATCGCAAGCTCCACACGGTTTTGTTCCCTCTCACCTCGGAACACACTACCTCGCGGCCTGCTCCCCCGCTGTCAAACCTTCCTCCTCCTACGACAAAAATCCAGCCAGCTCAGCTGCAAATGATAAAGGGTGCTGTTCTCATCAATGCGCTGCCTTTCTACCCCAGGAAACTAGTTTCCCCCCCTTCGTTTTCATAATGCAATACACACAAAATAAAACTACTATCTCCACACTAGAAGCTACACTTCCTCACTTAGCTTATAATCTTTTACTTTACCTAGTAAAACATACTGTTCAGCAGTATTAGAAACACAAAACATTCTGGGATAAGTAGAGAAAAACAAAACAAACAGGCTAATATTTAATATAAATTAAATGACAGTTGTGTCTAAATATTGATACATTTACTGCAGTAATTTTACTTCTTTATGCCATTGCCACGGTGAGCTTTTCTTTTCCAAGAAGACTAGAGTGACATATTCAATTGATTTTCCATGTGTTGTAAGTGTGCTTGCCGTTTGTTTTTGTAAACTCTGGGACGACGGCATCCACTAGACTTCCACTTAATTTGCTTAGTAAGTGTAAAACAAAAATTATACTGTTTCTATTTGATAATCAGAATGGCTAAGCTTACCAAGGCTAGAAATGTGGATTGGTAATTTGACTACTCATAATTCAAACTTAATAACAGAAATAGCTGTGTCAAATATATACATAAATATCCTGTGAGTAATATATAAAACCTGCTAACATATAATGAAACAATTTCGCAGAGATAAGTATTTTCATAGTGCTGTATCACACCCAAGCTTGTACTTATTAGGGGGCTGGTTGCTAAGAAGCTACTTAACAACCAGGATCAATGATATTCTTTGAACGGCAATTCATTTTAACCACAAAACCGTGTATTTAAATGAAATGAATCCGTTATTTTTATGTTGTAAGAAAAATGACATTCTATAGCTAAATATCTTGAATATCTAATTTCTGCTTATTTTACCTGAATTACCACATGATGCTTTGACTTTAAATGACAAAAATACATCTTTTTTTTTGCAAAAAGATTACAAAATGAAACTTGGTCTTCAGGTTCATATTTTTTCCAATTATGTTTATTGATCTTATAGGAGAAGAGTATCTTGTCCTTCTATAACATTCAACACCAACAAAAATCTACAACTCTGGGGTCAGTATTACTAAAAATTGAGCAAGCATTTTACAAGTATTTGAGATTTAGAAGGCATATAATTACAACAATGATAAAAGAGTATGTATAAGCATTAAGACATAATAGCCAGTGTAGTTTTAGTACCTCAGGCATTTTCTACTTGTGATACTTATGCAAATTTTGGAAAATAAGGAGTACACTGGCCAATCATCATTGATCACGAAAAAGAAGCTCTGTGAAAGTGCTTATTTAACTAACTGTATGATCAGCTCTTTAGCTTAACAGGGTACAGTGCTGTTACCACTCACAAAGCAAAAGAAATCAGTGTTACATTTGTCTCAAGCTGTTTTTACAAATGAATAACCTGATGAAGATGTCCCATTCAGCGCTAAGGTCATTCATGTTTATCTTCCCTTGAAACATTTCAGAAGACAAAACACTCCCTTAGACCACTGGATGAACAGTGGCATCTAGTGGTCACTACATCACCAAGTTTTGTTAAAGCCTATGAAAGAGTATCCACAAAACAAGTGAAATTGCTAGGAAGCTCTATCTTTAATATTGACAAGAGCGTATCTCCAATAAAATTTTATAATAAAGTTATAAATACTTTCTAGTAGATTTACTCTGATTCAATAATAATATATATAGAAATAAAAGCTAATAAAAAGCTTTTGATCTTTATTCTGAATCAACAACCCTTTCACAGGTAAACATCCTTTAAAGACTTTTACAAGCCGGTTTTTATTTCTTTACATTACAGTTCTTGTTCTTAATAGAGTATCATAAAGGATTTGCAAACCCTATGAACTAATTCATAATCAATTTTATGGCTCTCTCATGAACATGTGGGTTGGAATGCTCCAAGAGCAAACAGACTCACGCATTCCATGAGATGACACATTGATTTGCAAATTAAAACATCATAAAAGCTGAACCTGTATTCATTATTGTTGGGCTGAGTTCAACCTGGAGGTTTTAATTTTTCATAAACAGGGTATATCCAGTTTATCAAGATTTTCTCTAACTAGATCATGCAATGGAATGTCGACTCAAAATGGAATTACAGAATCATTTTACCATCAAAAAGTCATGTTTCCTAGGTCTGACTGCTTCCTGTTAATGAAAAATCAGTACATTCTTTGGCTATTTTCACAGTTCATCTGAGACAGCCCAAGTAAGCTTTTATTACCCTCTAGACCCCGAGCTCATCATCCCTGTACAACCTGCCCACAGGACACCTGGAACTGCTCCCAAGGCCTTGATGGCCAGCTCAGGAGAAACTCCGTCCCTGTCACCATGGAAGACTTTTCCTGGAGCACAGCTCGTATGTTACAGCTCCACGGTTGTTCACTGAACGATTGGGACCGTGTCCTCCAAGCAGCTGAGGCACCCCCCAAATGCCTGGACACACATGGATGACACAGGTGGGCCTCGTTACCTACCGATTTCACCTCCTCTAACTTAACTGCCGAAGGCAAACCTAGGCCTTTCTCTCTCTTCAACTTCTTAAGGCTTTGTTGATGATCATAAACACATAGATGCAAGGCCTGGACAACAGCCTGTGTTAATGTACGAGCCACCCAACATGAAGAATGAGGGGGCTCGGTATTCTTCAGACTGAGCACTACTAAGTCGCATCCCATGTTATGATGTGGGACATTCACCTACATGCCACCTACGTGTACAAAGAGGGCGCAGAGGCCAAGCCTCTCGCGACTGGACACAGCGGTAGACAGAAACAGGATCTCACGCGGTCCCCAGTGAACTGCAGACCAGGAGCAACAGTCTTCACATCACTTAAGACATTCATGTAAATGCTAGGCAGACATGTTCTAATGCATCTCATGCTCAGGTACAGAATCACTTGATCTTATTAAATCAATGGGTATGGTCCAGAAGTACTTAAAGTCGCGTGAGGTGTGATGTGTGTAAAGCCCAGGGTTCTTTCCAGCTCCCTACTCCCCACTAACTTCCAGGCCCCTCTTCCCCAGGGTTCGCAGTTACAGGAGTGCACGTGTGAGCTGTGGACAGGGGTAGTGGAACACGGTGTTCAGCAAAGAGCAGGTAACCATGCGTGACGCTGGGGGCACTGGCGGGTCACAGTCGACTGCTCTGCTCTACCTAGGCTTCATTCTCCTACCTCTTCCTTCCCCCCTTTTCCTTTCGCCTTCCGTATCTCTGCCTGAAGCTAGCGGTGGTAAGATAAAGCAGGGTGAGGTCCTGATGCTGTCTGGGCCTCCGTGTTGGGTAACAAAAGTGACGTCTGAATTCTGTGGAAAGATACTGTACTTAACAATCAACATATCCAGATATTCTCAATGAGAGCTGTAGGCAGTGATGACTGCTGTTACCGTCTGCTCCTAGTAATAACCTTCTCCCAGAGAGTAATTTAGACCTTGTACTGGCATACTGAGTGAAAGGTCTGTTCTCTGTCAGTGTTTACATATCTTGACCTAGCACAGGTTTTAAGAATACATTAGTTCAAGTTTTCAAAGAAGTCATCTCACTTATCAACCTACAAAAACATTCTCATAACACCTCTCCCCATACAAACTATCCAAAGAGTAATGCGAAGTATGCGTCTAACTAGTTGCCCAGGATAATTCTTCACTGGGTCCACAAGGGTCTAGCTGGACGGTTGGGTGAGTTGCCACCACCAGATCCCAACAAGCCTAGAAATAATTTGGTCTGGGTCTAAGTGCTAATATCATGCTGCCAAGTCTTCTTCTAAAAAGCATAAAAGCAAAATATCCCATGCCCACGAGCAAACCAACTACAAGGGTAGTGCCAAGAACCTTGGGGGCCCTCTTCTTGGCCACCCGGAATGCTGTCGGCAGCACTGCAGAAATCAATATATTGTTGACATGTCCTAAAACCTTGTTAAATGTTTTCCGCTTCAAGACACGCTCGTAATAGGTCTCCAGGTTGGGTCGCTTTCCTTGTCCCCAATTTCTCCTCGCAAACCCCAGGAACTTCAGTCGATGCAATGTGACAGCAAGTGAGACATCTGCCAGGGTAAAGGATTCTCCACAGAGCCAAGGCTGGTGGCCCTCCTCTAATCAGAGAAAAGAATGCAGAGGATTAGGACGAGTATGCGGAGAAGTACTGTACAAAGAAACTCTAGAAAATCCCCTCTGCAGCCTATCTTAAGGGCAACTGTGGGTGCAGCAAAAGATGCAAGCCATGGTACATTTTCTTGACAAGCATTTAGTAAGCGATTTTATGCTTACCAAAATAAAAAGTTCATTCAACTGTGTCCTAAGCTAAAGAAGACTTGTTTGCCGCCTGTCAGGTACCTAAATCCCCAGGCAAAACTGAAACCCCTTGAACTCCAAGACTTTCTACGATTTTTTGTAAAGGACTCTGAAGCTGAGAGCTTACAGACCCAGAGGAGCTAACAGATTAACAGACACTTCCTTCTGCCATAACAAAACAACAGGTGTGCTTCAGGAAAATCCATGAAGTTACACCTGCGACATTACTCAGCGGCTACTTCCCTCACAGTAAGCCTGCTGTATCTGTAGGCTCTGCATCCACAGATCAAAAATGTTTGAAAAATAAGGTTGCATTTGTACTGAGCATGTATAAACTTTTCCTTGCCACTATTCCTTTAATAATATAATATACCAATTATTTGTATAACATTCACAATATAGTAGGTATCTGAATTAATCTAGAGATAATTTTACACAAGAGGATGAACACAGGTTACATGCACATACCACACTGTCTTATAGAAGGGACTTTGGCGTTCATAGATGTTGGTACCCACAGGGCCCTAGGACCAGTCCTTCGAGGGTACAGATGGATGACTATACTTAAAGCCAAGAAGACCTCCTACTGTGAAGTTTCCGATAACATGGTTATCATTTAGAGCGTTCAGAGCAGCACAAAGGGGTCCACAGTGCACACCTGGACACTGGCTTCAAAGTAACATTCACAGGGACAATACACGGACACTCCCCAGTCAGCCCACAGGCGCACACATGCAGACCCCACACTACACGTTGGAAGTTGTCTCCCGGCCTAAGGAAAGAACTAGAGGGGCTTCAAGAAGCTAAGTCACTTCACCAAACCAGTGAAATCACAAGTGGGTAAAGCGGATTAGGGAGTACCCTCCCAACCACAGTTCAAGTGGTGCAAGAAAATCCTTCACAGGTCATACTTCAGGGAGACACGGGCCAAGTCACAATGAGACAGCTGAATTTGAATGGCATTGTTGGTGTCATAATTAAAGCTGCCCATGAACAGAAACAGATCAGAGAATGCATCTGGTGAAATCTAAGAACGCCCCCATAAAGCCTTCTGGTGACTAAACAAGCAAACAAACAAGAAGAATACAAATGGGAACCCACCTGGCGTTTCTTCATTTCTTCTCTGCAACTCAGTTTCAACCTGATCCAAGACCTTCTCCAGCTCATCAAGAATTTTCTTCAGGTATTTCACGTTATCATGATCAAGAAGCTTTGACTAACAACCAAACAAAAGAGTAAACAGGTTATTTGTGCCCATAAAAAAAAGCTGGTGCAATGTAGATATAACCTTCTATAAAGTTAGAGCCTAATTTAGACAATGGCTAGAAATAGAATAACTTTGATAAATAAAAACCTAATTAAAATTGAGTGAAAATATGCCCACTGTGAAAATATGCCAGAAGCAAACCAGTGCTCACGGATGACTCCTGGGAGGCCACATGACCAGGGAGGTCAAAGAATGTGAGAGAAAGGAGATGCCTCTCTGCCCCACTCAAGAATGCAATCCAGCAGCATTTAGACTGAGTGGCCAGAAGGTCAGAAACAAGGCAGAAGTCTGACTGCAGCAACTGGAGGTGCGGGAGGTGACCGTGTGCACAGGCGTTTTTTCTGCGGGCTCATTAACTAAGATGATAAATGAAGGCAGGAAGTCAGGCGGGCTGGGAGGGCTGCTCTTCTACACCTGCAACATGGGAGAAGCTTCCCTCTGTCCTGGGGGAAAGAGTCAACAGAATGTAAAAGGCTGACTATCACGGATACTTCTTACAGGGACAGAGCAAGTGCAAGGACTTTCACATGACAGAGTACCTGAAATTACAGACTTCTAGAATGTTTTATTAACTTGCTTTTGCATTTTGTCACTTTTTGCAGCAACCAGTAAGGTTAATGTCTGCTTCTTAAGCAACTGCCATGAAGTTTAACCATCAAAAGAAAATTCCAAAAGCAATGCTTAAGCCAAAGGTAACATTTGCACTGGTGGATCACAACCTTTAACAGAAGATGTTCTAAAAGTAGTGCTCTTCTTTTATAGAAAAAACACAATACAAACGGCGGATGCCATCGAGGACAGTCTGGCACTTACTTTAAGCCGCTTCTGTTTGGCGAGATATGCCTCTTGTAAATCAGGGTTTTCTTCAGCAAGTTTCTTGAGTTCTGACTCTGTGTTACCAATTTGGCCTGAAAACAAAAACATTCTTAACAGAAAAGTATTCTCTCCCTCTGTACCCGTCGCAAGGAGAAGGGCGGAAGCTCGATGGCGGGACATGAGCTTCGGGGCTGACGCCCAGCTACTGCTTCAAGCACACCGCGTCTGTGCCTCAGTCTCTCCACTGTCAAAGCGGAGCTGAAGAGCACCTGCTGCACGGGCTGAGGAGCGACTGAGCTCCTGGGAGGGACAGACAGAAGGCCCAGCCACCCTCACGGCCCAAAGCTGTGCTGCCCCCCGCTTCCCATACTTCTCAGCTTTTCTATAACAGCTGCATGAAGGGAAGGGAAAACCCTTATGTTTTAAACTAATGTTAACATAGGGAAGAGAACTGCGGCTAGAATACATGCTTCAAATAGTATCATCAGAATTACGAGGAGGAGGAACAAGAGGAGGAGCAGGAAGAAAAAGAAAAGGGGAAAGGAGACAGAAGAGCAGGAACGTAAGAGAAGGGGAGAGAGGAGGTCTCCGAGGGAAGAACCCAACATGAGTGAGAAAGACAAAGGTGGTGGAAATGTAACAGGAAAACACGACTTCCAGATCTGAATACCTGGGACCGAGCATTCTGAGTCAAACACTCCAGAATCTGAGCACGGTCACCACCTGTGGCTACCCTAGCCTGAGTCACCCGCCCGCGGAGCACACCTCCCGGTCCCTCCTCTCCCACCCGTCCTGACAGCCTCATGACAGGAGGGGAGACAGCTGATGACACAACTCAGTCTCAGCACACCTCTGATCACTGACGGCAGAGGTAACCACCACCCCTGATCCAGCTCCCTCACAGAGTGAGACAACGAAGAACCAGGAAGGTGAATTAGCTGCCCATCTTCCCAGGCAGATCGCAGTTTTCCTGGCCTTCGGGCTGTCTGGGCAAGAGGACATGGCATGTTCTCTACTTGTCCATAGGCCGCTCTTCTAAATACTATCCAAGCCTGGCCTTCAAAGCCAAGAGCTGGCAAACCAGGCCCTACAGGCAATAAATGTCCATCCAACATCTGAAGTGCAGATTAATCACCCTGGTTCTTGGATCAGAACACCATGGGCACATCCAGGCACACTCAACCCCCTACTCCCAATCTTCTCTCAGTGACCAGGAGACATGCTAGGTCTCAAGAAAGAACAGAAGCTTCAGGCAGAATTCTAGGTTTTTAAAATGTTTACATACTGCGAATCCTGGTGGTCGCATAAGCTGGGATCATGGAGTCCACAGTTAGCTCAGGGTGTAAAATGCAGCCGTGCGTATACGCATCCATTGGCAAGGAGTCCAGCAGCTCTCGGTAATGCTGCACCCGGGGGTAATACATACTTCCCTTGTCTGGCATTAACTTGGGTGTTCTTTCTGAAATACACACGCAAACACAAACACAACGCTGAAGAAAAGGTTACAAGTGAAATGCTACACCCAAAAGCAACAAAACGCTAACTCCCCGTCATTAGCATTTCAACATTAAATAAGTATATATTTAAAAGATGATGTGGCCCTGGCCCACGCAGTCTGAAATACTGTAGCCTGATATACAGTAGGCCTCAGGACTCCACTAAATTCTATCACTTTTCCACGTTGCAAATTGCTAGTTATTTACATGGCTTCCTCCACAAAGCACATCCAGCTGGTTTGGGTGTGCCTTCCTTTAAGCCCGTAAGACAGCGAACCTACTCAGTGTAGCACTTAGCACCCTGTAGAGAGTTGTACATTTGCCTTGTAAACATCCTCAAAACAAGCAACTACTGTTATGATCTAAATTACACATTTTACACCCAAAATAAAAACTTAAGTGACTATGCATTATGGGAAGACAGTTAGAGCCTACTATTTTCTATGCATCAACCAACACCAAGCAAGATCCCACTGATACTAAGTGAATATCAAATGACAATCTGGACTGAATACTTCCCCTAGGAATTTCCAATAACTTACAGAAAGTGGTGGACCTAAATATTCATTTGCTGGTTAAATTCTAGACTGTAGACTCCTTGGGGACAGGGACTATATATTGTTCTCTGTTAAAGTTCTATTATTTAAGACACTGTTTGACACATGCTATGTGCTCAACAAATTATAACTCCTTAATATATCCCCATATTTCTAGTTGTTAATGGCTGTTTGAGCTGTGGTAGCTTTACAGTGGTTAATAGGGACACAAATACGGAAGATGAGCAGCTCTCCCCAGATCCCACAGCTAATCAGAGGCAGAACAAAGACCTCATGTAATGCTCTAATTTATCATGCCATCACATTTTCAGAGCGTCTACATTACAGAGACTTGCCACAAAGATTAAAAGTGCAGGATGTCACTCAAAGGTCAGGGCTGTGTCCTCTCAGAATCACTTTCCACTCTGCCTCTTAAACCATCCCTGAAAAATGCCAACTGATTTATTCCAAGTAATGAAAAGAACAGCCGTGGCATTATTTATTCACTGATTTCTTACTCTGAGCATTTATTTAGTTTAGAATTCTCTTGAATGTCCATCCCACACTCACTCATAAATATTGACAGTTCAGTGATGGTTGCCATCAACAGAGCACTTCAGGCAAGGTCTCCTATGCCAGACCAAGCAGAAGTTTTTTAAACCACCAGGCTCTCTGAGAAAAAAAAAAGATGGATTACACTTTAAGCTAGTCCACAGCCAGGCATGGTGGTGCATGCCTGTAATCACAGCACTTGGGAGGCTGACTCAGGAGGACTGCTGCAAATCCAGCACCAGCCTGTGCTACAAAGTGAACTCAAGGCCAGACTAAACTGCATAGTGAAACCTTGTCTCAAAAAGACAGAAAAAAAAAAGTTAGCAAATTTCTAATTTCCTGCTAGAGAGCCCAGTGGTGAGGCCTGTATTAGAATAACCAAGAATGAAGCATCAGCTACATCCTGCTCCTCCACAGGGAACTTACCTAGCCGCAGCATGTTTCAGGGCTGACCCCATGTGGGAAGAAGGCAAGCAAGTCACTGATGCCACAGCCAGCCTCTCAGTGCTAGAGACCTACTTTTTTTGGTACTGGTGATCCAACTTATGACCTCGCACTTGCCAGGCAGGCACTGTGCCACTGAGCTCTATCCTCGGCCCTCTCAACCCTATACATCTAACACCAGACTTCTCAAGACCTCAGCACTGCCACTGGGACCTCAACAAATGCACTGTAGTTATTTCCATGAAGACAAAACAGCAGAGGCCTTGAAATCTAAGGCATTCTTAACTTTGCATGTGCCACTGATCTCTTCTCAAAACATGTTCATAAATGCATAAAATGTAAGACATGTAAGCCTATATATAGTCTTAAATTATAAAATACTAATATGCATGCCTGTTTAACACATTGCACATAAATTCAAGCATGATCTGGCAGGAGAGCTAACGAGTACCCTAATTTGAAAATGTCAAGGTATCTTCAATAACTTAATGTGCTCTGAACCTATCTACGACTTTCTTTGGCAGCAAAGTCACAAGCAGGTCTGATACTGCTGTGATTACGCCCACACCGACAATGGAAAAAAATAAAGAACTCATAAATCCTTGTTAGAAATAAGTGAAAATACAGACCAAAAAAGTCCCCATTCAAGATTTCAAATCTCCTGATTTCACTCATAGATCGCTAGGGGAAAAACTCTCAATTCATAGATCATAGATCCCTGGCCTTCTGCAAGACCCTTTGAGAGGATCCACACAGTCCAAGGTATTTTTACAACAGTACTGCTTTTTCACCCTTATTCGCTCTTGAGCTGCAGGAGAGGTTTCCACAGGCCATGGGAGACAGGATGGCTCCCTCAGTGTGCCAGTGTTTTAACTCTTCTGTTTGAATTTCTAAACGGTAAAAACGGACAGATACGACGCATATAAACAAAAGCTCTCAGGTGTTCTCAATAATTTTATGACAATAGGACCCTGAAACCAAAGAGGACGGAAAAACTTAACCACTTCTAGGGGTCCAAGAACCTCAAGTTAATAACCACAAGCGGTACATTTGCAAACACGTCCCAAGTGCCACATGAGGACTCCTGGCTCTGGCTGCCTCCTGGCGCCAGGCATGGAGCTTTCTCGGGAGAGTGTGCCGTTTCCTTCCCAAGAAAGTGAACAAGAGAAGGAAAAACAACTAATTGCTTTCTGGGTTAGTTCCATCTGGCCAAGCCTGAATCTTCAAAGGAGAACGAACGTTTAAACCCATGAAAATAGCTGTCTTCTGCTCTCTGTCTACGATCTTCTGAAGCACTTCATCAGACACAGCGTGCGCTGCCCGGCACACGCACACACGCACGTCCCATCTCACCTGCTCACCCTGCAAGGTTCAAAGATGCCCGCTTCGCCGTCAGGCGGGAGCCTCCTCCTCACACCAGAGCGCAGCAACGCCCACAGCGTCTAGGAGCACGTTTTTCAAACGATGATTGGGAATTTCCTCTGAGTTACAGGGGAAATGTTTACTCCCAACCCCATCCTACCTTACCTTCCCACCCCTCCATTTAACACCCTTGCTATAACACATAGAGAAAAGCATTTTTTCTTGCTGTTCTACCTCAGTCAGGAGCAGGAAAGGATATAAGCCACCCAGAGCCAGGACAAGGAACCAGGGGAGTTTACCAAGCAGGCAGTGAGAGGAGCTAACAACGCTGGGGGGCCAGGCTGCAACAGCGGAAGCCAGGTGGTGACCTAGAGCATAAACAGGAAACAGGAAATGGGGCCCGGAGCTCAGTGGCAGGGTGTGTGCCCAGCATGCACAGGCTTTGTATTCAATATTCAGGACGCAAGAGAATAAATAAATAAACTGGCACAGGACCTGATTTCCTAGAAGGACTCAGTAAGTGACGGGACAGGTGTTGGGTTGCATGTATTGCATGCTGCAGCAAATAAGAAAGAGCCTGAGAGAAAGCAGAAAGATGTGGTAACAGGAGGAGAAACCCAAAGAAGCAACAAAAAAAAACAGGAAGAAATAGTACAAACGAAGCGTTCTGCAGCTACCGACATGGGAACAAACGGCCCTGCGTCACTGACGGAGAATTGCAATGGCGCTGAGCCACTTTTTAAAAATTCAATGAGGTGTCCAAAAAAAACAGAAACTGAAAAAGAATTAGGGGTATAAAGACACAACCTTCAATTGTTTTGCTAAACTCACTGCTCTGCTTTCTTACAATCCTTAGTATCAGCAAAAAACAAAGCATTATGATGCCTGGCTTCCAAGAGAGACACGCCCCCTCTACCACCACCATGAGTAACTTTCTTGTCCTCCTATTAATTCAATGAAAACAGATTAAAGCTCAGATGCAACTCCACCCCTTCGCCCTGTTTTTAACATTTTAGATCACATGGTGGGGGCATCAGTACATAAGAAAACATGCATAATGGAACTGCACATTACATCCTTGAACTAGTCAACATCAGGATGTTAAAAAATGTAATAATGGTAACCGATTCAGTTATGATCTAAAGCAGAAAATGAGCTTGCAAACTGACTGCAATTCAAGGTAGTCACAGCTTTGGCACTAGAACGATCTAAACACAGATTTTAAAAAATATTTTCAAATCACTTAAGCCTACTACATGCCTCCAGGATTTTCTGAGACAAAGACAAGTTTGTAGTGTCATTTTTGATAGATTTTATACCTTATACAGTAAATGTTTAACTGCTTTCACCTGGCATTCTATTTAAGATTTTTAACAAAAATATTTTAACAAGTGGCAAAACTTTACTAGACCCTCTGTTCCAAGTGTTAGGTATACATACTATAGACCTACGGCTTCTGCATTTTAATATTCCCACCTTCCTGTTAAAATGGATAAATCACAGAATTTTTTACAAAGTTACTTTTCAAAGCAACTTCTATTGACATCATTATTAGAGACTCCTTTTCTTTCCCTCACCACATACCTTTTGCTCCATACTTTGTATTAATCTAAAATTCTCAGAAGATGTACTAACAAGGGATAGCAAATGCCAACAGAAATACCAGATTGCTACATTTTGTCCTTTAGATGAATGGCTACACTTTATCAAAGTCTCTTCTAATAACCATGGGCAATATTAGAGGCCATGAAAATCACCCACATATTATCATTTCAACTTGTCAACATTCCTCAAAAGTCCATCTGTGACTAGATAAAATGCCAGACGTTCTTAGGGTTACAGAATGCAGAAGGTTGCAAATTGCCCAGTCTAGATAGAAATGATACTTATAAAACAATCTAAGAACTTACTAGTCTTTTGTTTTATTACTAGCAAATACAATCAGCTCCTTCTCATTCCTTAATGCAGCCAGTTTTTCTAAACAAAATTTACATATTACATTATTAGCTTTGTTAAACTTTAGTGTTCTTCCTATTTTGTTCTTAATCTGAAAATATTTTATGAAATAGTCATCATTTTAAACATCTTAGTTCCTCTGGCATTTGCAGATGTAATAACATCGCTTCTATACCTCTGTTCAAGTCATTTATGTAATTATTAGGCCCAGCTCTGGGAGCAGAACCCTGCAAGAAGACCCCTACAGAGCCAGGGGTGTGCAGCCTAGCATGCACAAGGCCCTGGCTTCCATCCCCAGAATAAAAAGTAAAAAATAAGAATACCTCTAAAGATTCCCACACAGGCTGACATCCATCCCCACAATTTGTTCATCTGAACCATTAAAAAGTATTTATTAACACCTACTAGAGAATATTCACTTTAAAAGCACTTTTAAAGGCACTGGGGATACAGTTTTTAATAGATACTGTCTCTAACCTCATGGTACTCACAGTGCTCTAAAAATAATAAAAATATTTAAAACAAAGTATGATAAAATCATTATAAGTAAAATGAGAGCCTATAGCTGGAAGGACAACCTGATATGAGAAATACACCAACGAATATTCTTCAGTATGGTAATTTGTTTATCAACAGGCCATACGTGCTCGTCTGTCCCACAAGAACATCATGTGAAGTAATCTCAAATGCTCTCCCTAATCAAGATATTCTTTATCTAGAAACATGGCTGGCAGATAACAGACACATTTTTAAAGAGTGTTTGTGGCATTCTCTAGCAACATAAAACTTAAGCGAATTTCTTCTACTAAGAGGCTTAAAATTTTAAAATACACACTTTTAACCTTCAGTAATTTTATCAGTTGCAGAGATAAAACAATCTAATCAACTTATTTCACTCTTTTCTCTTTCCCAGAAGAGGAGTTACTCAACTGGAAAATTTTTTTAAAATACTTTGGCAATCTATTCTAGAATTCTGCCAGACTTAAAGACAGTAATTTATAGCAGTGCTTAAAATGTAAACACAGTAATTTATAGCACTATTCTCAAACTTTGACATACACATAAATCACCCGGAGTTCTTGTTCAAACAAAGATTCCAATTCAGTAGATCTGCTGTGAGATCTGAAATTGTGCATTTGTCATAAACCCTTAAGTGACACCAATGTTGTCACTGGAGGGAACATGCTTTAAACAGCAAGGATTGGTAGAATTCATCTTTCCCATTCTTTGACAATTAGGATAACATCTGTCTACCTCTTAGTTGGCTCTTTCTCCCTTTCCCATGAGTTCTCAAAGTTAAAAAATGATTATATCTTAATTATAATTGTGAGAACACATGATCTTTTTAATTTCAATACTCTGAGGTAAACTTCATCTTGACCTGTAAACGGGACTGGCCTGGATTTATATAACTATTGTTCTCTGGCTGTCTTTCTTTCCAATTGGATAATTACTCTCTAGAGAAAGAAGAAAGTGAACTGAGAGTTGGTTGGACTTGTTTTATCTCTACGACTAATAAAACTGTATCACCTAATCCAAAAGCAAACAGAAGAATTAAATCACCAAAGATATTCAACAAGTTAGTGGCACATGAGACTAACTGCTAGGACTCCGGATTGCTTTCTTATTATCACAGCTTAAAGCAGTACTGAAATCTGTCCTTTCCATATTTTCTTTATACCATTTAGCCCACAGTGCCTTCTCCTCTAAATCAAAAAAAGTCATCAAAAAAAACTTTAGTATTTCCCTTGGTTAGTTACTTAAATACATGTTAGCAGACTCAATATATTTCAGTTTTGTTATTACTAATAAAAACAGAAAAGCAAGAAAAACTTCTAATAAAACCTAATAATCAGTAATATTACTATGTTGTAAAGACTCATTTTACATTGAATTTTTATATTGCTGAATTTCAGAGAAAGAAAAGGAGGTGGTGATGGAAGAGGAGGGGTGAAATGACAGAAACAGTATTAGTTCAAGCCGTGCTACTAAAAGATTTAGACATATCGTTTCATTTATTGTACATGTATTTTTAAAGGTTTTAATCATTTAAAATAGAATTCTTAAACAATTATTTTGTCTTATGTTATTATAATGACTTCTCCCAAGAAATACAAATTATTAACAGACTTATCCATTTCCAAAAAGCTCAAAGTTGAAAAAATTGTCCTAAATCAATTAGTCCCCATTTTCTGTACAGTCCTCAGCATGTAAGAGATAGCAATGGTGAAAAACAGTTCACTAATCCAAGCGATTAGGCCAAGGCCACCTTTAACTAAAACCTCCAGTCAGAATCTAGAATCCTAGGGAATTGACAGATCAAGAACAGTGGCAGCTTTCTCATTCCCTGTGGAAAAAAAGAACAAGAGTTGCTAATCTAATCCCCTGGGCTTCCGTGTTCCCTTCCCACTTAGCTCCCATCCCCATTTCTTTTCTCCACACCCCAGCTACGTTTTGAGCCAGTGATTCCTTTCTTCAGCGTCCTCTAATATGGGTTACACACTGGTTTCGTCCTGCCCAATTAACACCAGTGTAAGTGGTGGCAGATGAAAAGTAACTGTAGTCATGTGGCTTCTTTTTCAGAAGAGAATCAGCTGAAAGGCAGAACTGGGTGGTCTGCTGTCAGCTCTGCCCGTGACCAACTGTGTAACCTTGGGCAAAGAACTGAAGCCACAGCTCACCTGCATGGGCTGTCATCAGGTCAGGTGAGACAAGTGGCAAAGGCTACAGAAACAATTGGTCTACTACGAAGGGACTGGACACAAAAGACCACGGCGCTAAATGGCTGTCTTATCTTGGGCCAGTCTATCTTTCGCCACGGACAAAATGGGAATAATTAGTCTACCTACCTGTCTCAGATGGGTTCTTTTGACAGCAGACCAAAATAAAAATTACAAAATGCCTAACATAGGCTATCAATAAAAACACTATACAAATTTAAACCCTACACAAGATTGTACCTCTAAAAAAGATTTTTTTAAAAATTCAAAGTACACAGAAGGAACTCAGGCAACTTAAAGTATATTAACATTCTGTTTTCTCTTGCCTAGGATTTATTCTCCTTTCCCCTCTTGGTTCTGATATAAAACCATTTAATAGATGAAACTCATTCTCATAGTGTACGTTTAGAACTAATACCATGAATTTGACCTTAAGGCTAATAAATTATTACTCCAAGCAACATACCTGCAGGGATTTTTGCAAGTGAATTTCAAAAGTTTCAACATTTATGTTTGTACATTAATGAAATTTTTTAAACGGAGTTACACTGGCTTCTGTGAAACTCATGTTGCTGACCTCCATTTATGCGCTTATGGAAATGGAAAAGGTTTTAATCACCAAACCACAGCATGAAACCAGAAAGAGAGAGTGCGGGAGAGAACAAGACAGAGAGAAAGAAAAAGAGAGAACACATTCGGGTCGCGAATAAATCCAAGAAATCACAAATAGCCTTAATTAACATTACCATCCAGGAAAGTCTGTTCAAGATAATCAATGATCTGAGTGGCCTCACAAATTATGTTTTCCCCGTGGATAAGGACGGGCACTTCTCCAGTTGAGTTCAAACGCATAAACCAAGGCTCATTGTGCTCACTCAGGGGCAGACTTACATCATGTTCCTCGCACTTCAATGCCTTTTCAGCAATTACCAAGCGCACCTGGAAGAGTTCACACAGGTTACCGCGGCTCAGCAAAGTTTTCGGTTCAGTGACCTCCCCGGGCATCGCTAAGCAGCCTTTGCGGGCTTCCTGCGTTAACATTTTTAACACTCTTTTTAAGGATTTATGTTCCCACAATGAACAAGTGAGATACAGTCTAGCGTCTTTTTCTTAAAATGAGAAAAAAACCAAGTATGCCGTGGAGATGATTCCGGCCCCTCCTTACCCAGCC